ACCTTTTTCCATCATCCTGGGTGATGCAAAAACCTCGGGATGATAGAAAATCCCAGGGGAGTCTGTGCTGGACCCCCCCCATCCCCCTGGAGCTGAGCTTTGGGGTGACTCAATCCTGGCTGCAGCAGCTCCCACTTGCACGCAGACACCTTGTTTACTTTCCATGCTCGTTATTTATTCCAGGAAATTATTAAAGCAGCCCACGCTGGAACCGAATTTGGCATAAAATAAATTTTAAAAAAAATATCTATAAAAAAAATCAAGGGGTTGGCGAAAGCCGATTGTTTACAGATCCTGCTTATAGCCCCCATCACCCCCAGCCCTGCTGCTCGCTGGTTTTGGGGGGCTTTGCAGGGTTTTGAGAGGATTTGCAGCAGTTTGAGGAATTTGGGAGTGTTGGCTCATTCGTGTAGAGCAGGGAGGTTTATCAATGGACAGAGGAGCCAGCAGCTCCAGGGATGGGTGTGGATTCCTGCCTGGACCCCCCCCCAAATCTCACCCCGCGGCTCTCAGATTAATTTAGTAGGAAATCGGCGCTCGGGGGGCGATGGGGTCGGGGCTGTGCTTTCTCCCATCGCCGTTCGCCGGCGCTCGGCAGCCACCGGCAATGGGAACAGAGGGATCTTTGTGGCCCGGCCACCCCCGAGCCAGCGCCGGCACAACGGTGCCTCTTGTCACCGCTGGGCACGGTCCCCTCGGGGACAGCGCTGTCCCCTGCCCGCGGGATGCTCGGAGACAGGCTGTCCTGCAGCTCCTTTGTGCCTCTGCTGGTTGAGGATGCTGGCTGGGTTTTGGGGTGGGCACGGGGTTTTTTTGGGAGGTAATGAGCAGGGCTGGGGGAGGTTGAGCTCGCACAGCAGCGGAATCGCCTCCCCCGTTCCTGTTTGACAGCCGGGGAACCTCTGAGCTCCTGTTCCTCAAGGCCAGACCAGAGCCCAGGGTGGTGCTTGATGCTCTCAGGTTCCCAAATGAGCGGTGCCCACCTGCAGAGAGGCAGGAATGTTTTGGGAATGTGTCACCCTGGGGCCACGCCGAGCTGAGCTGAGCTAGGGGGTCCCTACAGCAGGCACAGAAAGTCCAAATCAGTGGGATTCCAGTCCCTGTCCCAAAAACCAGCATTGGCAGGGGCTGTCCAGGGTGGACCTCTCCCCTTGGAGCTGTGATGGAAACACCAGAGGAAGAGCATCGGGATTAACTGTGCTGGCACCTCCCCTGGAGCACCGGGATGAGCTGCTGGAGGACAGAGGGATTTGTCACACTGAAGGTCCCTGGGGATGGACACCAGGATTAACCATGCTGCAGATCCCTGAGGACACGTTTTGGGATTATCTATGGTGCAAAAGTGCTCAAGGATGAGTGTTGTGTTTAACTATGGTGAAACTCCCCAGGGAAACCACCAGGATTTCCTGCCACACAAAATCCCCGAGGGTAAAGTCTGGGATTTCCCGTGGTGCAAACTCCAGAGGGTGATGGCTGCTCCAGCAGACACTTTGCCCTCCCCAGCAGGACCTTTGGAGCCCTTGCAGCCCCACAGGGCCCCCCTGCCCTGCCCTGGCACCAGGGGATGTTCCCACCCAGCTCACGAGGCATTCTCTGGAGAAGAGCTGTGTGTATCCATGCTCCTGGAAAACTTCACACCTTCCCCCAGGGCTGCAGGCACAGGATATGGTTTTGTGTCCATCCAGCACAAAAACAGCCAGGCCTGTAAGTCCCTGTAAGGGACACAGAGCTCTGTGATTTACAAGAAGTGACAAATCTCACTGCTGGGGACCTTGCACAAGGGCTCAGGCACTTCCCCACGCCCCGTGGGTGACTCAGAGTGGAAGCGAGAGCCGGCGTGGGGAAAGCCCCGGAGCGTGGAGGGGCCAGGGGCAGCTCCTGGTGCTGTTGAAGGATTTGCTCTGCACAAACTTGGCCTGATGGCCCAGCCACTGCCATTATCACTGTGCCACTGTCATCATTGTTATCACTGTGCCACTGCTGTCATCATCATGCCACTGCTGTCATCATCATGCCACTGCTGTCATCATCATGCCACTGCCATCGTTCCTGTGCCACCACTCTCATTCTTGGAGAGCCACCTTCCACCTCACCTGAGTGGAAGAAGCTCCCTCAGTGTCCTCTGAGCATCCAGACAGGACCGGGGAGGGCGTTCCTGGCACAGGTGGGCGAGTTGGGAGGAGTTTTACTATGAAAAGTGCCATAAATCCCAAATATCCTTGTGGGGGAGTTGTGATTTCCCCAGCACAGGCAGGGCCAGGTGTGCTGGGAGAGCTCCTGGAGGGAACTGAAGGAGCCAGTGGAGTGAAGAGAGGGGCTGTGCCAGGGCTGGTGAAGGGGTTTGCCAGGAGGAAATGCAGGCGCTCTGCTCTGAGCAGCCCTGACCTTGGCCTGACCTTCACTCGCGCTCCTGGCACGGCTGCAGCGCCGAGCTGGCGTCGGGCTCCTTCCCAGATCTGGCAAACCACATTTTCTCCCTGCCCTGCCCTCCCCGGGTCTGTGGTGGCCGTGGGTGCCCTGGTGGCACTGCCTGTGCCATGCTGGCTGTTCCTGTGCCCCTCTGTGGGGGTGTCTGGGGATGTGGGGACACACAGGGCGTGCAGTGGGGTGTCCTCACTGGGAGGGCTCTGGTGGGATGCTCAGGGCACGGAGCAGGAGGCTCTTCTGTTCTTGGGGGCACTTTCCTCTGTCTTCCAGTTTGCTCCATGTCTCCTGGCACTGGGAACAGCCCTGGCCTGGCTGAAGCTTTGTCTTTTTAAACTGTGGAAAGATTCCCTGCAAAAACCAAAAAAGCCGGTGTGTTCCAGTAGGTGCTGAGAGCTGGTGCGTCTCCTCGGTCTCCATCCTGTGGAATCCTATCATCTCCATAGGTGGCCACATCCTGGTCACATTCCCAGCAGGGCTCAGCCACAGGGAGAAGGGAGTTTGGGGCAGCTGGGCCAGATCCCACTGCCCTGAGAGCTGGAGAATGAGCCCTGGCACAGCCCAGGCTGCCCAGGTCCGTGTGCCAGGACTGGGAATGCCACAGCGGGGCAGGGTGGCCGCTCTGTTCTGGGAGTGCAGCTCCATGGGGTGTCACAACCCAGGTGATTTTTGGGGGTGCTCAACCTCCTGCTGGGCCTTCCCCTGTTTGCACAGGATCCGTTTGGGAGCAGGGGGGGTGAATCTCCACGTGGGGTATCGAGGCTGAGCTGGAGCAACATCTGTAACATCCCAAACGTTCCATCACATCCCGAGGCTCCTGAGCACACCGAGGCGGCGGCAGCGGGTGTTACCCATCCCTGCGGTGCTGCTGGGGCACCAAGGAGCCCACGGCTGAACCCTCGCTGTGTTGAGTGTGCACTTTTGGTTACCGAGAACTCCCTTTCCCGGTACCGGCCGCATCGAGCAGGGCATCTTGCGGTCAGGTGCGGCACCGTGCCTGCGGTAGGCGCTTCTCCGAAGCCAGCCTGGTTTTTTCGGGCACCCTATCTCTGTGCTGCATCATTTCCTTCTCCTTCTCCACGCCGAGACACGCAGGGGGCAACGCCAAACTCCCTTTTCCTGGAATTTTCCGGTTTCCTAAGAAGCCGACCCCAAGGCTGCGGTTGGGATGTTGATAAAAACCCGCTCAGGGTCACGCTGGACGTCACAAGCCCTGTGCGGGACAGCGGCCAGCACCGGCCATCCCATCGCCTTCTCCACACAGGACTTTGCACAGGGGCACGGTTCCCTTCCAAAGGTGGCAGGGAAAAAAAAAAAAATAATCAGATTTCTTGGGGATAAAGCGGCGGAGCCCCAGGGCAGCCCGGTGACCGTGATTGCAGCACAGCACAGCTGCAATCACTGTCAGCAGCAGGCCCGGGGGGTGCCGGAGCCACCGCGGTGTCACCAGCCCCGTGCATGACGCCGTAACACCAGCTAAGACTTCTAAGAACTTTCTTCTCGCTGCTGATAAGGGCTGATCCCTCTCTCGCTGCGTTTCCGGCCCCAGAGAACACCGAGTGCTCGGCCCAGGGAGGGAGGGAGGGGGATGGCAAGAGGGAAAAAAAAAAAGCACAAAAAAGCACAGCTAAAGATGGTGTTGTTGGGTGACCGAAGAAGCGCCCGGTGGGGACGCTCTGAGTGTCCTGCAGGAGGTTGGGGACACGGTGGGGGTGGGTTTGCTGTGAGCATCACCAGCTCGGAGCAGAATTTGGGCAGTTTGGTTGGCAAATGCTGCCGTGGGGTGAAGCGTAGAGATGCTGTCCCTGTGTGGGGACAGTGGCTGTGGGGTGAGGAGGGCCACTGGAACCAGCATCCCATGGGATGATGAAGCCACTGCGTGAGTCACAGCCGGCCAAAATTTTGTGTCGCTGAGCGTGCCCGTGGTGGCACCGCCTGGGCTGTGCCAGGCTGCGTGGGACGGCTCTGGCCGTGGGGCTGAGCACGGAGGGTTGGCTCCATCACCCAGCAGCGGTGCTGAGGGAATTTTTTGCCCCCCTGGCAGCCACGTGCCGCAGCCTCCCGGCAGTCAGCAAGGCGGCAGAGGAACCGAAAGCTGCCGCAGGGATATTTCAGCCTCTGTGGAAGTGTTTGCTCAGCACTTTGTCACGTGCCTGTGTCAGTGCCAAAGCCACCGGGGAGCTCTTGGCACGCCACTGACCCTCGCACCCATGAGCAGGATGTTCCCCGCCCGCACCCACATTTCCCCATGGGTGCCACATCCCTGGAACGCGCTGGGAACCCCCTTCTGCCTCCTGTCCTCCACCCATCCCTCCACTGCAGGGTCCTTGGGACCCCTGAGATGGGTCTGGATGTCACTCAGCCCCCCTGGGGTGCCCTGGCAATGCCATGGGGGTATTTCCTCACCACACAAGGTATTTCCTTGCTGTTGGGGTATTTCCCTGCAGAGCTGAGTACCTGCCTGCTGGCTGCTGGACCTGGTGGAGCAGTGGGTTGTGGGGCAGTGTTTTGGGGTGTGGGGCAGTGTTTTGGGGTGTGGGCTCAGCTCAGGCTCAGCTCAGTGTTTCCCCTCACAGGGCTCCAAGCCCAAGCTGCTCGTCGCCTGCTCCGCTGTGCAGGAGGTGCGGAGGTGCACACGCCTCGAGATGCCCGATAACCTCCACACCTTTGTCCTCAAGGTAGGACCTGCTGAAAGGGTCTGCAGCCACCCCTGAGGCCTTTCCCACCCTCTGGGGCACACGTGGCTCCCAAAAGCTCCCGTGCCAAATTTCAGTTCCTCTTCCCATCCGGGGAGGGGATGCACAGGGGGATGTGGGGTGCAGGGTGGGGGATGCGCTG